CTTTAGTTTACAATTTTATAATTTTGAATTTTGATAATTTATAACTTATTTGAAATTGATAAATTTAATTTTATAATTTGTAACTTATTTGAAATTAAATACATTAAATTTTTATTAAATTTGCCACAATCAATTTTAAACATTCGGTAAATGTAAAATTTGAAAATTTTAGGTATCTTCTTTTTCTTATATATGAAATATAGCACATTTCATTTAATTCCATGTTTTTCCATAAATGTTATATTTTCATGATTAATTTAAGAAAGGTCATGAAAAAATAAAAGGGAATAATCTTTTGTATTGATATATTTTATCTATCTATATTTATTATTAATCTTTCAAATGTATATAATAAATAAAGCTTAATTCAAATAATTTATTAAATTATATAATCTTTTCATAATTTATTATCAAAAAATAAAAAATTTTTCATGGAGAACAGTATGAAAATTGAAGTTTTCTTTCATATAAAACATTAAACTTTTTTACAAATTCGTCAAAATTAGGTAAAATTTAAAATCACAACAAATTTACTATTAAAATTTGAAGTATACTCATATAAATGACAACTCAAAAGTTTTATATGCGCCACGACTGGACCTTGTTTGTTTACTTGATTATTTAAAATGTTATCAATTCTTCAAGATATTTGTTTAGTTACAATATAGTGCAAAATTTTAAGATAACTTTGAAAGGTATCTAGTTTTGAAAATTAATGTATTTTTTTTGAATTTTTGATTTTTTAAAAAAAAGTTATTACTAATAACCTAGTTAAATAATGAAAAATGAAATAAATTATTTCACATGGTTAGATGTAAACTTAGAAAGTTTGCACAAAAAGGTTTTAACTAATAGTGCAATTCATTTTCTGTCTTAGAAATTGACCAATTAGAGTAGGAATTAAAGTTTAAATTTATTAACACTTTGCACATTATTAAAAAAATTTTGCAACCAAAAAATTGAAAGTTAAGATGTGTTAATCTAAATCCATAAATTTACTGGATTAGGATAATTCTAATCGACAATTAAAACCTATCAGAGAAAATACACAAGAAAAAAAAAATTAAATTTGCTGTTCTCCGATTACCGTATCATATTGTTTAAGAAATCAGTATAACCACTGAAGCCTACAAAACAAAAAATTTCAATTTCATAAATTCTTAACTCAAAGAAAAATTTTAAATAATGAAGAATCTCATAACATTTGTCATCTTAATTAATGAATTCGATAATTTCACTACTGTTTTGAGCAGTCCCGCAAAATGGAAAAGAGAAACGGTATTCCCAGAAGAAAAAACACATCCAATTTAACAATTTATCCTGACAGTTATTATTTATGTTCGGATGTCCTTGTATAACAGGCTCAAACACGTGTAGTTTTTGTCATTCAACATTTGTAATACTGCATCGAACATTGTGGAAGCGATGGTCATTATTATTCTATCACTTTTACTAATACCCCTACTACTCAAACTTCTACTTCTACATTTATTTCTACTGGAAAGTTGGCAACACATTTGTTTCCAAGTTGATGATGATTTTAACAATTTCGATACGACACTGGCTTATATGAATTCAGTATAATATGTATATTATTATTAATATTTTCGTAATATTTCACCTCAGGGTAGTGATTATAAGTTAAAAACCTAGATTATATGTAATCAAATCGTTTAAATTATTAAATTTATTCCATGAAAATGGTATTAATTTAAGAAAAGTCATGGAAAAGCAAAAGCACATAATTTTTCGTAGTGGTCTATCTATATTCATAATTAATTTTTCAAATTTATATAGAGCATATAAAGCCAATTGAATTGGTTGTTTTGCTTTCATATAAAACATTAAAATTTTTAGGAAATTTTATTGAATTATCGAGATTAGGTAAAATATAAATTATAATAATTTAAGGTTCCTTTGCTATTAAAATCTGATTAGACACTCATAAATGATGCTGCGAAAGTTGAATACATAATAACTAGTTACTTATCATATCGATATAATTAATGTACACAATAGCTTACTCACTAATTCATTATCAATTCTATCAACAATTCATTATTAAAGTTATTAATTTATCTATCTTTTATTATAATGCATTATAAATGTAAACTAATTAAAATGATTATTATGTAAACGATTATGAATTTGTTATGAATAAATCCAAAAGTTGAAAAGTTACGTTCAGCAAATGCTGGTGATGTAGGAATTGAAAGAATCTTTATAGTTATCTGTAGTTCACTATCATATTGACAAAAATATCGTAGATCAAACATATAAGCAATTTATGATAAGCGCAAGAAATTTCTTGAATTATTTTAGCCAAGATTCAAATGATTCAAAAAAGGAAATTACGAAATGTATAATACTGAATTAGGTAATTCTATTGTTACAAGAAAAAAAGCTCGGACATTTAAGACTTGACATAACTTTATAATTCATCTATTTACTAAACCGCCATTTTGCTACACCTTTAACGCTAAGGTTACCAGAGAGAATCCACAAAGAAAAGATTAGATTTTCTGATATCGTTTAAGAAATTAGTATAACAAAACTTCTAAAGTGCATTTATTTCACAACCTCTATACAGTAAAATATTTCTACAGTAAAATACTGTACAAAATGGACCTCTTCTTATATATATAATTCGCTATCAAAAGCTTCTTTAACTTGACTGAAGTCTATAAAACAAAAAAATTCCAATTTCATAAGTTCTTAATTCAAAGAAAAAATTTCAAATAATGAGGAATTTCGTAATCTTTGTTTTTATCATAATCACCTTTATTAATAAGTTCGATAATTTTGCTGAGAAGTCCTGAAAAATGGAAAAGAGGAATAATGTCCCTAGGAGATAAAGGATTGTCCAATTTAACAACTTGTCCTGACTCCAGTTATTATTTATGATCGAGTGGAGTAGAATGTTGTCTTATAGGTTCAGATTGTCTAGAAAACAACCCATATAGTATAGCTTGTACATCAACAGATGTACTGTATATTGTAGAGATGGTACACATTGTTGTAAACAAGGTCAATATTGTGAAGTAATAATTTTATGTTATAATTTCTACTCCTACTTCTACTGCTACTCCTACTCTTACTTCTACTCGTCTTACTACTTCTACTCGTCCTCCCCCTACTACTACTCGTCCTCTTACTATTACTCCTACTACTAATACTCGTCCAATTACTACTATTACTATTCCTTCTTCCGCTTCATCTAAATCTGGTGGATGGTTGATGGCAATTTTGACGATTTTATTGACACTAGCTTATTTGATAAATTCATTATAATATATTATTAATACTGTTTATTATCATTTTTCATAGAATTACAGTTTATATTTGGAATTAAATATATCGAATTTTTATTGTTGTTAAATTTTCCACGATCGATTTTGAACATTCGATAAATACAAAATTTGGAAATATTGAAATCTTCTTTTTTTATATGAAGTATAGCACATTTTTTTAAAAAAAAATACCACATAAAATTAATAGTTTAAGTTTAGATCTATGTGTTCAGATGTAAAAATTATTCAGTATTAGAAAGTTTGCACAAAAATCATATACAGATAAGGTTTAGACCAATTAGAGTAGGAATTAAAGTTTAAATTATATTTGTATAAAATATATTATTAAAAAAAAATTTGAAACCAAAAATTGTGTAACGCTCCGTATGTCTTAATTTTTTTGTTAAAAATCCGCCCGTTTTCGTTTATTATAAATTTACTGAACAAATTGATTTGTTAAAAAAAAATTTTGAATGACTAAGAATTAATATAACTTACAATTCGTCTATTTCCTGTACCATCTTTAACATCACACAAAATTACAAATTAAGACTACCCCAAAACGTAGATCTTTGTAATCCCGATTCGATTTTTTTTCACATTTCATTTAATTCCATAAAAAAGAAAAAAATATAGAATTAATTTTAAGAAAACAAAAGCAAATAATTTTTTTGTAGTGATATATTTTTATTCTTTCAAATTTATAAAGCATATAAAGCTAATTAATAATAAAATAATATAACTTTCATAATTTATTTACAATTTTCATCTGTCATGTATTACTGTTACTGCATATTTGTGTGTCGCCTTTTCAGGTCATATAATAATTATTACTAAAAATGGGAATCGGTATTGCAGATTGATCTATTTATAAGCCATTCTAAGTCATGTGATTTAACTCCGCTTTAGGCATCCCCAAAACAAAAATGGTAGGTCACCTCTATCTGGTAAAATGATAGAAAGTCCTTTCAAGGTCAAGCCATCTGCTGTATGTGTAGCTTTGGATCTTTATTTATGAATTCACTGAATTAGGCAAGTCAATGAGAGAAAAAAAAATAAAGAAAAAAAATACTATTTACTAAACCGTACTTTTGAAACGGTTTAGCATAATACGAAATTGTGTATCACGTTTAAGGAATCAATTTTTGTATAACCCTTTTCTTGTATATATATTCCCTTTAGAGCCTTGGACAAAAAAAAAACAAAAAATTCCAATTCATAAAGTTCTTAACCTATAAAGAAAAATTTTCAAACAATGAAGAATCTCGTTACATTTGTTTTTATCATTATCACCTTTATTAATGTGTTCAATAATTCGCTTTTTCTTTGAACAATCCTGCAAAATGGAAAAGAGAAACGGAAACGTTCCCAGGAGTAAAAAGAGAGGTCAATGAGACTACAGGTTGTGAGGAAGGTTATTTCTCATGTGCGAATGGAGGCTGTTGTCCTTATAATACCAAATGTTACGGCACGAGATTGTGTAAATTATTATATTGTACTGCGGAAGATGTAGTTTGTGATGAAAATTGGTGTTGTTCTCCAAACCAATATTGTGTACTCGAAAACAATGGTGATTATGGTTGTATGAACACTACTACTTCTACAGATGATTCTACTAATACTGGTGTTTCTCCTGGTTCTACTACCGGTGGCTCTCCTGGTGCTACTACTACTGGTGGCACTACTAGTGCTCCTACTCCTACTCCTACTCCTACTATTACTCCTGTTAAATCTGCTGGAAGGTTGACAACATTTGATTCGGCATTTGGTTCCATGTTTATGGCGATTTTGACAATTTCATTAACACTAGCTTATTTGATGTTATAATAAATTATTATAATAATAATAATAATTATTATTATTTTTCATATATTTTATATTCCATGTTTTTGATTTGCTAGTATTAATTTATATTTGGAATTAGATATATCAAATCTATAATAATATTTATACAAATTTGAACTATTTTTTATGAAATTATCACATTTTCATTTAATTTCATGAAAATGTAATATTTTTGAATGAAAAAACGTGTAATTAATTTAAAAAAGTAATGGAAAAACAAAAACAAATAATTTTTTGTAGTGAGATTTTTTTAATTTATATTCATAATTAAATCTTTCAGATTTATATAAAACATATAAATAAATATTTATTCAAATAATTTATTAAATTATATAATCTTTTCATAATTTATTCGCAATCTTCAACTGAAGAACGGTAGTGTTTCATATAAAAATATTAAAATTTTTTATGAAATTTGTCGATTGAAATTTTTGTATTTGAATTATTTGTTTACTTCTAAATATTGTGACGTACCTACATGCCATCTAAATTCAGAAAAGGAAAATTGATATAAAATTTTGCTAATCCTATTGTTGATATTTCCTTTTCTGAATTTGGCGACATGTGTTTAGTTATACATAAATATGTATGCATGTAACTGGTTGTCAAATTCAAAAAAGGAAATTACGACAAAAACCACACTTTTGAAATAATTTATTGGCTGAAGCCTATAAAACAAAAATTCCAATTTTTTTCACTCATAAAGAAAATTTAAAATAATGAAGAATCTCGTTATATTTGCTCTTATTATTATCACCTTTATTAATGTTTTCGATAATTTCACGAGCAGTCCTGAAGAATGAAAAGAGAAACAGCATTCTTGAAAAAAATATATCCAATTTACAATATTGTCCCTACGGTCATAAATTATGTTCTGATGGAGGATGTTGTATCACAGGTTCGGTTGTATAACGGGCACAGACTTGTAAAGTTATTGTACCGTAGACTGCGGCGATGGTACTTGTTGTTATACAGGTGAATATTGTGGAAATGATGGTTATTGTTACAACACTTCTACTCTTACTACTACTCGTACTCGAACTATTATTACTCCTATTCGTACTACTTCTCGTACTCCTATTCCTATTGCTATATATGTATCTGGTAGAAGGTTGACAACACATGATTCGGCATTTGGTTTCAAGTTGATTTCAATTTCGACAATTTTATTGATATTAGCTTATTTGATGAATTCATTATAATATAATATCTTTTGAGTAATATTATTTTGAAATTAGATACATCAGATAAAATTTAATTTATAATAATTAAAGTTTTATTCTATAATAATTGAATAAAATTATGATATTTCTATGATTTTGAACGTTCGATAAATACAAATTTTGAAAAAAATTAGACACATATCTTCTTTTTTTTTTATGAAATAGAGCGCATTTCATTTAATTCCATTTTTTTTTTTCATAAATGTTGTATTTTCATTTAATTTATGAAAGGTCTTGGAAAAACAAAACCAAATAATTTTCTGTAGTGATATATTTTTATTAATAATTAATCTTTCAAATGTATATAAGCGTATAAAGTTAATTATAAACGATTATTCAAATAATTTATTTACAATCCTCAACTGGAGAACGGTAGTTTTACATATAAAACTTTAAGAGCTTTTATTAAATTTGCCGAGATTAGATAAAATTTAAATTATAATAAATTTAACACATATGTACATAAATGACACCGCGAAAGTTTTATGTCGTCACATCGATTGAATCTGTGGTTACACACATATGTATACCGAAATTCATTGACGTACTTTTGAAACACCTTTGATATTACAATTAAGGTAAATTCCAGAGAAAAAAAAACAAATTGATCTCCGTGTATCATGTTCTTTGTTGTTTAAGAATCCATTTCTATTTTAGTATTTCATAATCTAAAAAATATAAATCCTTTTTTGTATATATAATTCCCTTTGGAGAGTTTGACCCAAATCTTAATTTCAAATGATGAAGAATTTCGTAACATTTACAATTATAATTATCACCTTTATTAATGTGTTAGATAATTTCGCTTTTGCTTCGAGCAATCCTGCAAAATGGAAAAGAGGAATATCATTCCTGGAAGAAAAATCACGTGATTTTATAACTTGTCATGAGTACGGTCATTATTTATGTTCGAGTGGATTAGGATGTTGTCCTATAGGTTCAATTTGTATAACAGGCACGAACACATGTAGTATATATTGTACGTCAGAAGATGTAGACTGCGGCGATGGTACTTGTTGTCACGCAGGCGAATATTGTGGAAGCGATGGTTATTGCTCCACCATATTTAAACGGGCCAAAGGTGGTAAGAAAAATGATAATGACAGTAGTGATCGTGGTGGTCGTGGTGGTCGTGGTGGTCGTGGTGGCCGTGGTGGCCGTGGTACTGATCTTAGTAGTAGTAGTAGGTTAGCAACACTTGATTCCAAGTTGATGGTGATTTTGACAATTTCATTGATAATAGCTTATTTGATGATCTCATTATAATATATATTATTATTATTATTATTATTATTATTATTATTATTATTATTCATATATTTCGAGTAATATTCCATGTCTTTGTCTTACTAATATTAATTTACATTAGATGCATCAAATTTTTATTACTAAATTTGCGAGTTCAGATAAATTTAAGTTCTAATATTTTTTCTATGAAATATATTACATTTTCATTTAATGCAACACTTGTGAATGATAAAAACATGGATTTAATTTAAGGTCGGTCATGGAAAAACAAAAACAAATAATTTTTTGTAGTAATATTTTTATCTATCTACTGTATATTAATAATTAATAAACGTTTATTCAAAGAATTTACTAAATATATAATCTTTTCATAATTTTTTATCAAAAAATAATTTATTATCAAAAATTTTTATTTTTTCACAATCTTTAACTGGAAAACATTATGAAAATTGAAGTGATCGTTTTACTTTCATATAAAACGTTCAAAGAACCTTTTATTAATTTGTAAAATTTAAATTATAATATAGCACTTACTTTTTCCGAATAAAGAATGATCTTTCTTTGTGATAAATAACTTTAGTTACACATATCAATTTTTTTTTTGTACCGAAATTCAAAAAAGGAAATACTGTACTGAATTAGGTAATTCTATTGTTATGAAAAGATTAAATTTGCTGCTCTCTGATCCCCGTATCATGTTGTTCAATAAATCAGTATAATCTCTATTTTTTTGACCGAAAAAGAAAAAAATTCTAATTTCATAAGTCCTTAATTCATAAAGAAAAAAATTTTCAAATGATGAAAAATCTTGTCATATTTGTTTTATCATTATCACCTTTATTAATACGTTCAATAATTTCGCTGCGATCCTGGGAAATGGAGGAAAAGGATTGTCCAATTCAACAGGTATTGATTCCAGTTATTATTTATGTTTGAATGAGTAGGATGCTGTTCTATAGGTTCAACTTGTCTAAGCTCGAACATATGTAGTGCATATTGTACTTCAACAGATTTTTATTGTAGTAATGGTATTCTTTGTTGTAAAAAAAGCCAATATTGTGGAAGCAATAATTTATGTTACACTTCTACTACTTCCAAGTTGTTGACGATTTTTGACAATTTCATTGACACTAACTTATTTTATATTATAATATATTATTATTATTATTACTATTCTAACGATCTCTTTTTAATCATTTCGGTCAATAAAATATAGTAAATTATATTAATAATTAATCTTTCAAACATTTATAAAGCATAAAGCTAATTAATAAATATTTATTCAAATAATTTATAATTAATCTTTTCATAATTTATTATCAAAAAAAAATATCTCTCTTTTTCACAATCTTCAACTATGAAAATGTTTAAAGCATTCAAGTCTTTTCACTAAATCTGTCGAGATTAGGTAAATTTTAAATTTAAAGTTTTATGCGCACCGCATCGATTACACATTATTTTACCGAACATGGGATGAACTTTCTATTCTTGGATTATCTAATATCGTAATATGTTTACATATTTTGTTTATGATGTATACACATATGTATGTCTGTTTTTTTTTTTGTTGCCAAGATTTTTTCTTTATCAATTAGGTAATTCTAATATAATTTAAGATTTAATATAACTTTATGAATTATCCGCCATTTTCGCTACATCTTTAACATCACACAGAGAAAATTCACAAAGAAAAGATTAAATTTGCTGTTCTCCGATCTCCGTATAATGACTGCTTAAGAAATCAGTATAACCTTCTATATTGTACCATTTTCTTATAAAAAGTTCCCTTTAGAGATCTTTTGACCGAAAAACAAAAAAAAAATTCCAATTTCATAAGTCCTTAACTCAAAGAAAAAAAAATTTTCAAATAATGAAGAATCTCATTACATTTGTTTTTATCATTATCACTTTTATTAATGCGTTCGATAATTTTGCTTTTGCTTCGAGCAGTCCTGCGAATTGGAAAAGATTATTAGCAACATTCCTAGAAGAAAGAGGATTGTCTTATGAAGTAACTTGTCCTAACTCCAATTATTATTTATGTTCTCACGGATTGGGATGTTGTCATATAGGTGAAACTTGTCTAGAATCGAACTACTGTAGTGGAAACTGTACTTCAGAAGATGTAGACTGCGGCGGTGATAATTGTTGTTCCCCAGGCCTAGTTTGTGGCAATAATACATGCACCACTAATACTACCACTACTACTTATAATACTACTGACGGCAAAGTTACTATTACTTTTACTTCTCGTGCTTCTCAAATTCCTACTACCAAGTTGATGGCGATTTTGACAATTACAATTTTATTGACACTAGCTTATTTGATATTATAATATATTATTATTATTATTATTATTATTATTATTATTCATATCTTTTGGGTAATATATTTGGAATTAGATAAAAATTTTTGTTGCTGTTAAAATTTGCGCGATCAGATATGGTTTAACATGTTATTTTTTTTTTTGTTCTTCTGTTATTATTATATATTTTTAAGCGAAATTTGTATATTCATTTTTTATTGCTTCTTATTATGTTAATTATAGATTTTTAAGCGAGATTTATATTCATTTTATTATTATAAATTGTACTTATATGTACATTATTATATATTATATAAAAATATTTTTTTAAATATGTACCTGAATCGCGTGATTCCAGTTAATTTGTGAACAAATATAGAATAAATTTATAAATTTCTTAACTAAATCAAGTCTTATACAAACACGTGGGGTAATAATGTATTTGATAACGTAATTAATTACAAAAAGGATTAACATGACATGTTGGTAGATGTTATTTATTTTATTTTTATAACCCTTATTTATTATTTATTTTATTATTATTTATTATTACTTAGTTGTATTAATTTAGAATTGACATATGTTTATTTTTGTATAGTTAATTAAATGATGTCAAGGAATTCATATTAACTAGGATAGTTGATGATCAAAAGGACCTCTGACATCAAGTGATGCTTTGATTATCTTGCATGTCAGGTGAAGTCCTTAAATTAAAGAGAAGTCTTTGCATCTCAAGTGTGGATATCAAAGCTTTAGACCCTAGATGAAGTCTTGGACCTCCATATAGAAACAAGAGAAATTATCTTGTCAAAGTTAATTTATACAATTCCTATTTCTTTTATTTTAATAAAAATAACAATTACTTTATACTTTTGTCTTAAAGTGGTGCTGCTGAAATAATTCAAGGAAATATATTATTACATAACTCATAACTCACCTTTATTCTTTATTTTTGATTTATTGATTTTTAATTGTTTTTAATTTTATAATTATTATATTTTTTATTTGATTTAGGATTTTTTTGATAATTGATTAATTTATAGTTATTTTAAATAAATTGATATTATCCTTGTTTAATTGAATTCTTTCCCATAGTTTACTTTTATTCTAAGTCTTTACATAATTTAACCTAGAAATAGTAAGCTTGCTCTCCCAGATAGTAACAATGTAAAAATGATGAAATAAATATTAAGCAATTATTCTTATACAATTAATAAAATAACGATCATGAAACATCGGACATTTTCATCACTATGACTAAAGGAAAAGATTTTATGCGTACGTAAGCCACACCTTTAATCAGAAATGGTTTAAGTCATGATGTAATACGATGACATATATACGAAATTCCTTTTCAACTCATGAAAGTCGGGTGAGATTGAGGCAATTTCATTCGTTTCACGAAAATCATCTGCGTGGCAAATAACCAAAAAATTCAATGGGGGCCAAATATAAAAAAGGAGTGAACTTATTTGGAAAGATAAAAATATAATAAGTTACACCGTAATTTACCTATCCTTGGCACAGCAAGGAGAAAAACCCTTTTAAATTTTAAATTTTGGCCTTATAAAAAAACTCAAACTCTAATTTTCTTCTTTTTTTTTTTCTTTCGTATCACACCAAAGAATTCTTAAAGAATTTGCATTTTAACGTTTTAAACTCCACTACAAATTCATAAATTTTATCCAACGACAAACGAGACCATAATGAGTGAAACCGAAATGGTATTTTTTTTATTACGTAACACTAAACCATTGAAGAAAAATTATGTTGGTGTATGATATAATATTTTTGAACTCATTAGGCCAACCACGATCCCGAAGAGATATACAACCTGCTCGAAAAGCTTGGAACTGGCTCTTTTGGAACTGTTTATAAGGCGTTTGTATTTATTGTTTTATATATTTGAGTGTACAAATGTTTGTTCTTGAATAACATATTTGTATATATTTATATATATATATGTATATAATTTTTTTTTAAACTCTTCTTTAGCATAAATAAAACAACAAATGAAGTTGTCGCTATAAAACAAATTGACTTGGAAGAATCGGATGATGATATAAGTGAAATACAGCAAGAAATAGCATTACTATCAGCATGTGACTCGCCATTTATCACTCGTTATCATGGCTCATTTGTCAAAGGATACAAATTATGGATAGGTAATTTTAATTATTATTATTATTATTATTATTAATTTTTTTTTTCGGTTCAATTCTTCAAAAAAAAATAATTTATTCATTTTCAATAAAAAAATTTTCAGTAATGGAATATCTTTCCGGCGGATCATGTTTGGATTTGGTAAGAACTTGATTATTTACTCTATCTATCTATATATGTATATATATATATATATATATTTATTTATTTATTTATTTATTTATTTTTGTTATATAGCTCAAACCTGATCCGTTTGATGAACAACATATTGCTATTGTTCTTCGAGAACTTTTATATGGTTTAGAATATTTACACATTGAGGGGAAAATTCATAGGGACATTAAAGGTATGCATAAAAACTGATTGATTATTTTGTTTTCTTTTATTTTCTCTTGACAAAGATTATTATGATTAATAAACTATTTTCGTTTAATAAATAAATAGCCGCCAATATTTTACTTTCTGGAGAAGGAAAGGTGAAACTAGGTGGGTGAATGATATGATGTGGATGATGACGACATTTAGGGGTGGCTTTTAAATGTTTTTAAATGACAAACCAAATTAAATTAATTAAATTGTTCAAATCTAAATTATAGCCGATTTCGGTGTTGCTGCTCAACTTTCAAATAATAAAAGTAGAAGAAATACTTTCGTTGGAACACCTGTAGGTCTTGTTTTTTTCTTACTCTTGTCAATAATTATTATTATTTTCAAACAATTGATTTTTAACTGAATAATTTATTTATTCTTTAGTTCTGGATGGCACCAGAAGTTATCCGACAGGCGGGTTATGACCATAAGGTAATCATCAAATTTCTTGCTGTTGAAATCATTATGAATTAATAATGTTTATAAAATTCAATTCTGAAATTATAATGAAATTTTTTTTTTTTAGGCGGATATTTGGTCACTTGGAATTACGGCAATTGAAATGGCTAAGGGTGAACCACCTTTATCAGAATATCATCCAATGCGTGTACTATTTTTAATTCCAAAGGCTAAACCACCAGTGTTGGAAGGAAATTTTTCTAGTGCATTCAAAGATTTTGTATCACAATGTCTGATAAAAAATCCTCATGATGTAAGTATTTTAAGGTTTTTATTTTTTTTTTATTTTTATTGAAATATTTTTTATTTATTTATTTATTTTTTGGTATTATCAGCGGCCTAGTGCAAAAGATTTGTTAAGACATCGTTTCATGAGGCACACACACACTACAGCGAAACTACAAGAATTAGTTGAACGATATAAAGAGTGGAAAGCAAAGGGTCCACAAAGACCAGAATCCATGTTTAATGATAGACCGTAAATACTTTAATAATAAATTTAATAAATTTCTCATTGTTATGAACATTTAGATTCTTATGAACACGTTATTCTAACACATTCAAACATTATTTATTTCAGGAAATCGTCACGCAGAGTGTCTTTCGCATCTTGGGACTTTGAAACAATAAGACAAGCAAATATTGATGGTTCACTTAATTTGGATTCGGCAACTTTAAGAGATTTGAGAAGATTATCTTCGGTGAGGGAATTTATAAATTCTAAATTGATTTTATAGAATATTCTCGGGGAATATTTATATATATATATAATATTAATCATTTAATAAATAAATAATAATAGTTTTCTGTTTCTTCATCGAATAATTCTACCATAAGATTGTCGAGTTATACTGTAAGTCAAAATTAAAATAATGATAATATTAATAATATTATTATTATTATTAAATCGATGTATTCAATATATGATATATTCTTTATTTATATTTTTATATATTTATATATATTAAACATTTTAAAGAGAAACTCTTTCATCGAAAGTCCAACGAATGAAAGACCTATACAAGAGACGATAAATGATGATGCAAATGATGCAACTGATACGACTGGTACAATTAATGGAAGAAATATGGAACAAGCCAATCAAGTAAATCAAACTGAAGAAGAAACATCATCTAACATTATATTGGAGGATAATAAAGTGAGCCTGGAAAACAACAACGACAATAACAATAATAATAATAGCACAATTGATTCCCTGAACATGGAGGGAGGGTAAATAATCAATTCTCTCAGATTCATCTTCTAAATTTATTTTAATTTATGAAATAATAAGTTGATAATAAAGGATATAATAATTTACACCATTTATACATAATATGTTATAGCCTTGATACAGTACGTGCTCCAAGGCCTTTTAGTATGAATAGTACTCGACGTGAAACTGTTTCACTTTCAATGTTTTCTCATAATTTTTCTATTGCGAACCCGGTAACAGAGGAAGGGATTGTTGGTAGACAATTAGCTAGAGAAGTTATTATACCATCAATACAAAAGGTTAATAATATTTTAAAGATTTCAAACAAAAATTATATCAAAATTATATATATATATATTTATTTTTCATTAATATTTATTATCATTCATTTTGTAGATTAAATCAAAAGAATTGAGAGCGAATGAGATCGAAGCACTTACTGCGTTTGAGGGTGGAATAGAGGATTTGGATAATGCTAATCCAGATTTGATTATTACAACATTGATTGAAATATTAACAAATCTAAAAACGTAATAAATTATAACTAAATTTTTACATATTAATTAAACTCTAATTGGAAATTGTATTTATAGTTTATAACAAAAAAAAATTTATTTATTATATTCTTATTTAGTAATGCCGATATATGTGAGAGATTATCAGATTTAGGAGTAATATCTGATGCATTTTTATCAACTCCAGAATTAACAGCAGACATTGATTCTCCATCATCATCATCAGATAATAATGGTGGTGGTGAAAATTCTCTACCAGATAATGATGTTAAAGAACCACCAGATGAACAATCATCATCATCCATATCATCAAAGGAGAAGAAATCAAAATCATCACCGATAACGGAGATGTTATATACAAAATGGCTTGATCAATTACGAATTAAATGGCCAATAGGATTTGGTTCAGGTTCATAAACAATTTAAAATTTAAAATAACAGAATAACAAATTAAACAAAAATTATTGGACTAATTGGGCTTAATTATAATAATATTATTAAAACCTTCTCTTCGTATTCTTTACCAACTCGTCTTCCTTCCTTCATTCCTTCCTTCTTTTTTACTTGTATATATAGTATATATAGTATTGGATTGTATTTTATTTATGAGATTTATGAAATCTATGAAATTTAATGATTCTGTATTTTATTTTTTTTTTATATATTATATGTACTGTATATTGTATTTTTTAATTCAACATATTTTTATATATTGAATATATTTGAATATATTTGAAATTTATATAATTATTTTTTTTTTTATTTTAATTAACGATTACACGAAAATAATGCTTATTTTTTTTTTATACTAAATTATACTTTAACTTTAATTTACACTTTAATTATACAATCTATGCTATATATTGGATTATAAATATGCACATAAATTACACATAATTTCCTTTTAAATATCCGTAAATCCAGGAAAACCTTTAAATACTTCAACGTCCCAAAACACCAAATCCAACAAGAGACTAAAAAATAAAAAATTTGAATGAATGGACGAATACTAAAATAATTAATATTAAATATATATATATATATATATTAATATTTTCTTACCAAACTGCACCACCAAGACCTTCCCAAAGAGACCACGGTCTATCAGGAAGTCTAAATTCTTTATTAAGTGTACGTTCTTCCCATTGAGTACAAACTTCAGCATATTCTAGTGCCCATTGAAAGTATTGAAGATCTTTGGTAAGCAGATATACCGAGAGGAATACATATGCATTTCCAGAAATTCCGTGACAAAGTCCCGTTCCTTTATGACCATATCCTTGAGAATAAACATAATTTGCAGTTTCCATCGCAAGTTTCAAATATCTTTTAATAACATACGCGAGAAAGAAGTAAATATTAATAATAATATTAATAAAATAAGAAATATTTTTAAAATATTTTTAAAATATACTTACTTTTCTTCTTTATAATATTCATAAGCTTTACAAGCCAATAAACATATTCCAGGAGCACCATGACAGAATTGTATCAAATCATTCTCACCTTTATTCAAATTTGATGGCCAATTACCATTTGGTGAACGACAATTAAATAAAATGAAATCCACCGTTTCTTTAACTCGTTTATAATATTCTCGACAATTTTCGGGAAATTGTAATAATGTGGTAAGAATTCCCGCGAAACCATGAGCAGCTCCAACATAAGGTTTATCAAAAAATGACCAAAATAATGGAATCTGTTGTTCCTTTTCAGTATTATAATAATTTGAAGTAAAATTGGAAGAAGTGATTGCAGCATTTAGAATTCCATCTTCAATAATTGCATCAAAGACTGATTTAATTAATGAGGAAGTAGGAATTTCTTTTGAGGGATCAATTAAACTCGAAATAAATTTTTGAGTATAAAGGAATCCCGCGCGACCATAAAATAATTCACTTGGTGTGTTAGGTGAAAAACATGAATGAGAAAATTGTGATTGAATTAATTCAAGATAATTATGAGATGATTCTTTATCTCCCATATGATTTTTAACTAAAAAATAATAATAATAATAAATATATTAAATAAATATATTAACAAAGACAAGTGATTTAATAAACAATAATAAATATATTAACAAATAAATACCTTCAGCAGCAACAGCATATAAGCCAACAGCTGAACATATAAATCCACATTCATTTTGTTTTTTTGCTGATGTCATCTTATGTTTAGCTCTATATGTTGAAAGTGCACTATTAATAAATTCATCTGCAATAACTAAAGCTGATCTCGTCCCAATCATAAATCCTAAAAATAATAATAATAATAATAATAATAATAATAACAAATAAATAAATATTTTCCCTTCCCAGTGTGAGTGGATTATTATGAGTATTTGAATTACCAGGATCTCGTTCATGAATTCTCATGAATAAAAGTGATAATCCCGCTTTCCCTAATAGAATCAATTATTATATAATAATATTAAAATAATTATGGTTATTATTGTTGTTATTATTATTATTATTATTATTATTATTATTTACCAACGTAGACATCCCAATGTTCATAATTGTGATCCTCAGTTGGCACCTCTTTTAAAATCCTTTCACAACTTTTTACTAATGAATTACATAACTTTTTTTTGATATCTTTGTTTAATAATTTATGAACCAAATCATCGTCACCATCACCATTTTTACCAATAGTGAAATTCATAATTTTTCAATCTGGCAAAGATTAAATAATTCAAATAAATAAATTCTTTTTTTTTGAATTTTTTAAAAAAACATTTATGTTGATGGGCAAGAAATTTCATTTGGATTTCAAATATATATTTTTTTTTATTAGACGAGAGAGATTTTTTTTTTTTTACGTTAACATTGCATCATTATTTATTTATTATTTACTAATAATGACGTTCCCGCCAAAAAAGGATGAAAGATAGATATGTCAGATGATTTTAAATGCAAATAATAAAAAAGTAATTCCGTTGTTTGAAATATATATAGATTACTTTTTAAAAAGTTACATTAATTACGTAATGTTGCTACTTTTCTAAATTTCGCTGAATTTTTAGTATATAAAAAAAAAGAGAAAGCGAAAACGAGAGAAAAAAGTAAAAAATGGTTCAACCACCTTCTACTTACCCGATAAGAGGAATAATATACTTTTTGTCAAATTGGATTTTAATTCGAAGAATAATAGGTGTATTGTTATTAACAATGATAGTCACACTTATTATAACTGGTTTGACTTTTGGATTTTTACTCACATTACAAGCTCATGCTTTAATAAATGCCAATTGTCCAATTTGGTTATCATGGATTGTTGCATCAATATTTTGTATATTGGAAATAATTCTTATGACCATTATATTTTATCTTATAATCACACCATTCTGGCAAGATTTATTATTTGATGATGTTTTAAAATTAAGAGGATTGGAACCAATTTTGAATCAATCTCGAACTCGAGTTTCCGAAACGAGAATTTGTTTTCGTGGAATTAGTTCAGGAATTTTACTTGTAATCCTTCAGGTTTACGTTTTGATATTATTTCAGGTATATATATATAAATATATAAAATAATTATAAAAGAAAAAAATATTTAAACCAAATATATATGAGTTGCGTGTATGAAAAACGAGAATTGTTAAAAATAACTAAAAACAATAATAATATATTATATATTTTTTATTATTATTATACATAAAAGATAATTACACTTATCATTACTTTACCATTACATGCATTCCCTTTAATCGGAACATTTACGTACTGTTATTTAAATGCGTGGATCATGACTTGGGGTCATTTTTTACATTATCATTTAGAAATAAAAGAATTAAGTATAAAAGAATCACGAAAATTGGCTTGGAAAAATCGAAAAGATTATATTTTATTTGGAATTGTGGCTGTGGCACTGGAATTAATACCTATAGCAAATTTTATTTTCTTTTGGACAAATGTTGTAGGTGCCGCTTTATGGACATCGGATGTAAGAAATTCTTCTATTTCATATTAAATTTTTATATTATATTTAAATATTTTTTTTAAATATATTCATTCATTATTTAATATATATTTTATTAGATTATTATTGAAGAACGTAGAGCTGGATTAAACAGATCAGTTCAATTTACTCGTTCAATTGTGGGAGAAGAATCATATCAATCAATCAACAATACTAATACTGTCGGTAGTTCCTTCTACACTGTCATCATCTAATAATAAACCAGTCACAATCAGTTATTCTCACTTTATTTACTCGTTTAATTGTGGAAGAAGAAGAATCATATCAATCAACCAACAACAATACTTCTACACTGTCACTTTGAGAATATCCTTATATCAAAGGATGATATCTGAAATCTTTTAAAATTGAATCCTAACATAGATTTTCATAAGATATATTGATTCAAATATATATATAGATTTCAATTCTTTAATTTTGAATAAGACTTTATAGTATTATACCAACCCGAAATTGAGCATTACAAAATATAACGTATATTAAGAAAATATGGTTTATTTATCTACTTCATGAATATTAATTAACATAGAATAAATTTAATGATGCACTAATTCATTACAAGTAACTTGAATATGATGATCATTTATTGATCAAGAATAATCACATCCTTTTCCTCCCTCTACTAAAATAAGTTATAAACTTTCAACATTCCAATTATCATTTTTGAATTGGTGATAAATTATATTTTTTTAATTGTTTATCTGATTTTTTATGGATTTGATTTTTTGATCAAAAATAAAAGATGTGAATCATCATAAACTCTCTCCTAATTTTATATAACTATATATTCACTTGCTTAACTGCCTCTCGATCTATTTTCCATGTTCCATATAATCAATTATGCAAAGTGTTAATCAATATTCGTAGAAGTTTCTTTATTACCTAACTTACCTTGAATTATTTCATCACCATCATAAGATCTCTTATCTTTATCATATCAAAATCATATTCAACATCTTCATTTTCGTTTAAAAGTTAATGAATTTGAATTTGTTACGAAAATTTAATAGGTCCTCTTGAATTTATGTAAAATATAAATAATGTCGAAAAGGACTTACAAAAGAAAACCTAAAAGTACTGTGCATGCATTTTTTGAGCATCGTTTATGAAGAATTCATTATAATTAATGAAAAACTATCTTTCGTAGAGGACGTTCCACCTACTGTTGCCAGCACATCTGGCACATCTGGTGCATTCACACAAGGCAGAGATGCCGAAATAATTGAAAATATTGAAAATTTTCCTCTCCTGAATAAGGAACAATCTATATCCAGTGGTAAAGTAAACTTATTACAAGTATTGTTTGGTGGTGAAGTCATTAATTGCTATCTGCGAAAAAAATAGGCTTTGAAAGCCTTCAGATAGGCACCTCGTCATCCCTTTTCAAAATCTGGATCAAATACGGTGACACCCGACCAGTGAAAATTGTTTTCGATGGAGAAGATGTAAACGATTTAATAGAAGCGATCAAGGAGGAACTGTCACCCGACTTGGATGATGTGCCTCTTAACCGCATTAATCTAAGAAGACACGATGTAGAGTGCAGATTTAACTGTTAATAAAAGTTTTGCAAATACTGATGACACTCCTCTACAAGTTATTGTAAATTCACCTGGTACATATGTATTCAAGTTTATTGGATAAGAGTGTGTTAAAATAGTTTATATTTTTATGTTTTTCGACATTAACCAATTACGGCTTTTTATAAGCAACGTTAAAACGTAAACTCGAAGATTCAGGATATTTAAAAGAGACGTAAAAAGTGCAATAGAAGAATTCTCCCAGCAAAATCGTGTTGAGACGATCCAACTATCAAATCTATCGGAAGGAAAAGCAAAGAATACATTGGATCATCTTGGATTAATACCTATGAATGTGAGCACACAAACTACACACTTCAGTATTATTTTAATGATATTAATATTTATTATTTATTCATTATTTAAGGATGTTCATAGGAAAAAAAAAGGAACTTGAATTACAAAATGCCAATGTTATTTTAACAGGCGGTGCTGACATTTCTATTGAAGCAAACGGTAACCCCGGTGTTTGGATTAAAACTAAGAAAAGGAAAGAGAATTTTAAAATGGGTCAAGCTATTGGATAATTAATTATAATGGATAGGCAGAGTGCTATGTATGTCTTAACTGATTGCAATGACAATTGGATTATATTCTTTTTTTTTTGACAGAAGGGAAAAAGTATTTAACGACATCTGAAATTGAAGAACGCAACATTGCTTTGGCAATAATTAAACAGTTTATACTCAAGGAAGGGGTAGCTATTCATAATATACTGGAAAAAGTATTACATATCCAGTAAATTCACCCGATTCATGAAACTATTACTGAAAAGGTTGGTTTTGATGACAGAATGGCTGACTTAATCGATGATATGACGGAAAAGGAATTATATAGCATGTCAATGCGCAAAAAATTAATAACAAAAAGTATTGTTAAAAGAGATGAACAATCAATTATAGATCAATTTATTAGTAAATTAGTGATGATTATGAAATTTCATCACTACAAATGTTCACATAATGTAAATATTTGTTATATATAATAAGAGTAAGAAGTCACATCTTTTATTGATTTATTCTCTATTTTTCATTTTCAAGCCTTAATGTAAATAAATAAATTAATAAAATTATGCACGTTTTGTGTTGTAACAATTGATCCGGTTGTTTATGTATCCCAAATCTTGCGCGTCAACCATTTTACCGAAATATTCAAGTATCCTTAATTTTCGTTGTGGATGAGTATAAGAAATAGATTTTTGTTATTACAAAATTTCGAATTCGATTCTTAGACCACGAGTGTTGTATATGATTTACATATACTTTACTTTCTTCTTTGGGTCAAAATGCTAATGCGACCAGGCGATGAATACGATATTTTTCTCGAGCGACTCTAAGATATTCTGCATCTAGAGATTCTCGTCTGAACCTTCCCTAAAAGATGAAACTCTAAATTTTCGTGAAACAAGCTCTATTTCTCTCCATTCTTCATCAAGATCTTTTCCTATAATCTTCATAATATATCCAACACCATCCTCCAACGATATTCTACAACATTCCGAAATATTACTCATTACTATATTAAGAATATTCGATGCAAGGGTAATGGAATCCCAAATTCGAACAACATTTCCATCCAATGTCTTTTGCACAATTTTTCTAGAATTACTATGATTAAGATTTCGAAATACTATAGTTCAGAATTTTCTTTAGGAGTTAACTGTTGATGTGATTAACATAGGGCTTATTTTCTGGAATGTTTGCACAACCAAAATATACTCTTGAAACTAATAAATCCAAAGCAGTTTTTACTGGTAACATGTGTTTTATCATTTTATCCGCCGATATATTATAGTTTAAAGTCAAAACAGTCCCGTATAAATACCGTAATATTACCTAGCAGCGACCACATGAAAATTTTTAAAAAAATTACTAAAATTAAAATGATGATTTTGGTACAATGAGTAATTTAAATTGAACAAACTTTTTTTTAATTAGATTCTCTAAGCTAGAGCTATCTTATGATATATTTATGTCAAGATTGAGTTTCTACATCTGGAGAAATTACACTTCAAATAAAATTGACACAAAATAATAATTTTCAATCTTTGAATGTTACCCATACCGGACTCGATGGATTTTAAAGATAAATGTTAACTATTTTAAATGGAATTGTAGCCATAAATGTTATCTACAATTAATTAGAAGTACTTATAATAATATTTAGTGAAAATTTGATTTTATTTAAATGTGAACAAAAACGGCCGAAATTTATTAAAAATATTAAAAAATAAAAAAAATAAAAAATAATTATCAATCGTTTCTACATACAAAAGTTTTATTTATTAAAGTACTAATAAAATTCTACTAAGTAACATTAAATCTAAGAATATTGATCATCTCATATAAAATATTCGGACACATTTAGCGAATAATTAGCGATAAATTCTGAGAATACTTTTCGAACGTTTTGTGTTCAGCCGTTGATAAACGAATTCAATTCGCAAGGAAATTCTTAAAATTTTACGGAAGATACTCAATATTTTTTTCTATAAGTTAAAATAACGTTACATTTGCTGTTTTATTAGTAAGTAATAAACTTTGTATGCTAGCAACTTTGGTAATTATTTATTTTAAATATTAACGGTAAAATGATCGACAATAATCCCAGAAATTTAAGCGGCGGGCAAATTTGTTGTCGATCATTTTATCTTTTTTTTTTTTTTTTTTTTTATATCCAACGGAGTCTTGCTCCAATAAACTTTATTAATAGATTAAGTGTAAATTTT